TTGGAGAGATTTCAACTTACCAAGTTAGGAGATTTACTTGGGCACAAATCAAGTGATTTTGACCGAGAAATGAGGTTGCATGGCGTGGAAAAAGGGCTAATGCACTTGGTTCATAAACCATCCCAACGACTTGGGCATTTAACTTGAATTAAAAAAAAATCAAATTGATCCCAAAATAATCCAAAAAAAAGGGCCGGGTTCGGTTTAAACGAATAGGGCTGGTTCTATTTTGTCAAAAGGGTCGAATTGACCACTCAATAGGGTTGGTCAATGTGGTTTAATGCTTGGGTCACAATGGTTCGAAAATAAAATAAAACGGATAAAAGTTCAGTTTACACGATTAAACCGAAGATTGTCGAAGCAAATAAATTTTAATCAAATAAACCTTAATATCCATAAACAAACGGATAATATATGTGTATATATGTATATATATACATAATACACACAATAATCATTTATTCATAATATACAGTTAATAACAATTAGGCTATTGAACAAATAATAATAATAATAATAATAATAATAATAATAATAATAATAATAATAATAATAATAATAATAATAATAATAATAATAATAATAAAACTCAAATAATTCATAAACGAATGGGGCGTTACACCTACAGTGATTACACAGTTTGAGGATGTTTCCCATTTTTACGGGGGAGTGCCTGATTTTGAGGGTACGTCCACTTCGCATGTTCTTAATTTTGGCGAAGGGACAAGCTCAACAGTTAGAGAAGAACCCGATGATGATTTCATTCCTGATGAAGACGATTTGACAGATGATACATCAGAAACGGAATCGGATAGATCAATAAACGAGGAGAGTGAACCAGAGTTTATTGAAGAGCACCCATTTCCTAGTACCGGTCAGTACGTGTATCGCGAGATGGGTGAGTGGGACCCCTCGTGTGTAGACCAGGATGAGTATGCTCTCCCTCGTTGGAATGGAAATGTCGAGACTATCCGTTTGGGTACTGTTTTCTGGTCCAAGGAAGAAGCACAGATTGGTATAATGAATTGGAACATTAGTAGATTGAGGGAGGTTAGGACAAAAGATTCGAATAAGAAATCATCCAAGGTGGTGTGCAAATCCGCCGAAGCTCAACCTTGTTCCTGGAAGGCTCGGGTGACGCACTGCACACGGGTTCATGATCTGTGAGAAGTAACAGAATGGACCGAGAAGCATAGTTGTATGCAAGAAGCCGACAAAAATGACCACAGAAATGTAACCGCCACAATGATTTCCAATCTTATCATGACCAAGATCCAAAAGAAACCCGAGTACAGTGTTACCC